GGAAGAGGAGGTGATGGATCTGTGACACGCCCTTCCCTGCTCCTCTGTTTTTGACACCTCTCCTTTTCCTACCCGGAGCTCCAGCTGTGACTCAGAGCAGCTGAAAGCCTTCCCAGGCAGAGTCTGGGCTCCCTGTCTGGGTGGGTTTGACCTCCCGAGCTCCGTTTCTGCTGCCCAGAGCAGGGATTTGGCAGAAGGAGGTGCCTGAGGGTCTTCCCTTAGGAACAGAGATTGAGCCAGGGAAGGCAGGGGGAGCACGGAAAAGAAGCGAGATAAACTCTCCTCCATCATGGCCAGGACAGGTCCAGAGAAAGAAAAACGATGTGGAGCTGCCTCGTGTGCACGGAGAGCTGAGGCAGCAGGGCTGGGTTTGCTGCAGGAGGAGAATCCAGGCCCAGACGCCTCCACGCCGTCCCAAGGACAGAAAGATGTTTGTTTTTCTTTTTCTTAGAAATAATGATGGACTCTTTCTTAATAAAACGCTCCTCGGTCTCACTTTCATCTTGGGAGTTTGCTGAACCTGAGTAAATAAACCCAAGAGTGCTGCAGAGCCCGAGGCCAGAGCCTCGGAGGGAGCTGGGCCCGTGTGATGTGCCTGAGAACAGGCTCAGCTTTGCTGGGCGAGGGAGGAATGTGGGCCAGGGAAGCAGAACCAGGTCACTGCTGCTGCTCCAGCCCAGCTCACAGAATGCCAGCCAGGCTTTTGGTTAAGGAAGCCCCTGTGTGACTCAGCTCATGGTTTGCATCTCGGGCCTTTCCCTTGGGTGTCCTCATCCACCTTCCTTTATCTGCCCCTGCTTCCTCCACATCCCAAATCCTGGGGCTTCCCCTCCTGCCCATGGAATTCCCTCTCCCAGCCCTGAGCCTCGTGTGCCCCCTGCTCTGCCCCCTGCTCCAGGCAGCAGCTGGGGAAGGATCAGGGGGGCTGGGGAAGGATCAGGGGGGCTGGGGATGGATCAGGGGGCTGAGGATGGATCAGGGGGGCTGGGGGATGGATCAGGGGGCTGAGGATGGATCAGGGGGGCTGGGGGATGGATCAGGGAGGCTCTGGGGGGTGACAAGTGGGGTGTCCCCATCAGAGAGCCTCCGAGTGCCTCCCAGCAGGTCCCCACAGGATGGGACAGGCCCAGCTCCCCATCCCAGCTCTCTGCAGACTCAGCATCACCTCTTGCCCAAGAGCTTGCATAAAATATAACAGGATTTTCTCACAGGATGGTTTAGCCCTTGGCAGAGGGATTGGAGGCTGGATCCTCAATGGGTCTGAATGTGAACTGGTCTTGTGCAGCTGGGAAAGGAATTAAAATGAATTTTTCCCCCATGTCCCAACTCTGTGGCCAGGGTTTGGAGACAAGGAGGAGCTCAGGGAGAGGAGGACACAGACACACACGTGCTCGTGCTTCACCCAGACCCCTTCCCAACGGCACTGAGATTTCACACACCAAAATCAGATCCCGGTGTGCTGCCAGTGCCTCAGCTCTCCCCCAGAGCCCAGGAATTTCCCTGGGTACTCCTGGCTGGAACCCAGCAGCTGCATTTCAGTGCTGAAGCTCTGGAAGCCAATTTAACCATAACTGAGCTGGAATTCCATCCTCACCCTGTGGCTCGTGGCCTTGTCCTGCTCGTTCTGGAGCTCTGTAGCTGCTGTGATGGGGTGGGAGACAGGATCATAAAAATATTAATTTCATAGTGGCTTTTTCATGGCTTTGAGAGATTTGGTGGCTTAAAAGGGTATGGTCAGGTCAGGCTGAGTTACACAAGAGCCATCAAAGCTTTTGTGGCTTTTTGGCTTTTTTATTGGAATGCCCTGGGTATCTGCAGCCCCAGCCCTGGGGTGGAACCCCCAGCTCAGGTCACAGATCCTCAGCCAAGAAATGCTGAGGTCTCAGAGAGCTCCCAAAACTGCACCAAGGAGATTCCTACAGATGGATCAGGGGCTGAGCCGGGACCCAGAGCCCCGAGGGGACAATTCTGCTCCTGCTCAGGGGGACTGGGAAAGGGCTGGAGCCCCTGGTGGGAAATGCAGGGGTGAACCCAGCCTGTCCCTGCACCCCATCCCGGGGCTGGGAGGGGACACCGGGCTCGGGGAGGGGACACTTTGGCTCCTGTCCAGCCGGGGCCAGGGCCAGGCTGAGTCACCCCCAGCCCGGCACAGCCCTGGGGGGTCCCGGCTCTGCAGAGCTCGTCCTACCTGCTGAGCCCACCTGGCCGTGGGGCTGAACCCGGCGGGGTGGGATTTTGGGGACAGAGGGATTTGAGCATCAATCCCAGCCACAGCACGGGGCTGTCCTGGGTCCCCTCCCGGCTTCCAGCCTCATTTCCAGCTCCATCACGGAAAAACCTCTTCAAAAACACCAAAGCCCCAGAGCAGGCCCTGGTGCCAGCCTGGCAGAGCTGGCCCGAGCCCAGGGGCCATGGACACCCCGGGTCTGGGTGCCCAGACTGCTGCTGCCTCAGCCGGGAGCCCCAGCCCCGGGCACACAGCCCTGGGGGACAGCTGGTGACAAGGCCAGGCTGGGCTGTGATTCCTGCAGCTCCCACTCGATCCCTGCTCGCCCTCAGACCTGTTCTGGTGGCCTTTTCCCCATGGCCACCAGCTCCTGTAGGGGCTGTGCCAGGACCCTGCAGGGGGAGAGGCTGAGGTGGGGGGCACTCCCTGGCCCAGCCCTGCCCTAAGGGTGTTTCAGACACTAAAACTGATCCATCTGAGAGCTCTTCTGGGTGCCCCTTCAGGGCATTCCACGGCCACAGGGCAAGGACCAGGATGGAGGTGGAGGTGCTGATGTGTCCCCGGTCCCACCATCCTGGGTAAAGCAAAAAGACCCCAGAGAACCCCCCAGCAGCACGGGAGTGTCCTGGGGATCCAGGGCCTCCCCTCCTTCCCAGGAAAAGCTGCAGGACCGGCTGGGAGCAGGGAGCTCCGTGTCCTCCTACACAGCCACGCTGCAATTTCGGGAGCTGTTGAAATCAGTTAACCCCTGGGAAGCCAGGGAGAAGCCACAGCCCCAGGGATGGACAGACACCCCCGGCCACCCCTCCCCGGGCACTCTGAGCTCCAGCCCTGCCACTCTCCAGTTTAACCAGTCTGGTGTCCCCAGGCTGGGGTCAGGGGCCACTGCGAGCCCTCAGCTCGTTCTTCCTGCCCCTGTTTGGGTAATTACAGGGCTGGGGCTGTTCCCAGGCTGGGAGTGCTTGGGGCCAGGTGGAGGCCAAGCTTTGGGACCCTGACACCTCTGGGGACCCCCAGGGGATGTTGTGATGGGGCTGGGGGGTGGGTGAGGGCCAGGGGGCTCACAGGGGTTCATCCCCTCTGCTGGGATCTGCTCCAGGTGTCCCATCCAGGGTGAGCAGGTTCTGGTTTGTGCAGCCCAACTTCCCACAGCAGAGCCCTGGCAAACCTGGTTACATCCCAGGCCAGCCCCTCACATCCCTGGGTACCCCACAATTCCTCACATCCCTGGGTACCCCACAACTCCTCACATCCCTGCTTGAGCCTCATTTCCCCCAGAGCCCAGGGGTCCCTGGCACTCTGTGGGCTGGGCTTTGGCCAGGCCAGGGCTCAGGACTGACCCGTCCCCCCTGTCCCTGGGGCTCGGGGGCTCCCTCTGAACCAGGGCAGCACGTCCTGAGTCACAGCATCCCATCCCA